TTATTATTATTATTATTATTATTATTTTGTTGTTGTTGTTGTTGTTGTTTTTTTATAATTTTTTTTTATAATTTTTACAATTAACCTCCCTGTGGTTCGACCCCGGTCTTGCCGGGTTATTTATTACTTCGACACTCCTGCACTTGGGAGAAGACATCAATCTTTTAGTCGTAAAACCTACCTAATTCCAGCACCGTCAAATTTGACTTGAATTTATAGCTTTGCATAAACCAAGTAAATGCAGGACTATGTGTTTCACACAACATGACATTTCCATTGACCACCGTGACTGCCAACAATGTAGTTTTACTGGTGGGAGCATTCAACGCCTTGATTGTGCCTTTGTTAATAAAACTATGTCTGCTCCCACTATTTATAAGGATAACAAGGTTCTGCCCTTGATAATTTCCTTTAATCCTGATAGTATTGTAAGTGTCATTGTCTGTCAAAGCGTTTAATGACATGCCATATTCATCTACTTGATCATTTTCCTTGTCTTCTCCTTGCATAGTGTCTCCAAACTCTCATATGCCTTCTTCCTCCTCTCCTTCCACGCCTTCTATCATATGTAGACTTTTGGCATTGCATCTATGCCCAGATATGTATTTATCCCCGTATCTAAAACACTGTCCCAATCTCTTTCGTTGTTCATAGAGGCTATTTGAAGGTGGCTTCACTCCTTTAGTCCTGGATGAACCAAAATGTTTTGAGGGGACATTACCTGGTATTCTACCACTATGAAGTGGAGGATGGCTTTATTATAGTGATCAAGTCTTCTTGGTCAGGGAATTATTAGCCTCCTCTTGCCATCTGGCTTGTTCAAATGCCACCATCACCCTTGCAGGTTTCAAAATTTTTAGCATTGGTTTGATCTCATCTTTTAATCCACTAATAAAGCTAGAAACATAGTAAGCTTCTGGTAACAGTGGGTTGAGAGCCCCCATAAGTGATCTCAGCTCCTCAAAACTTTCTATATATTCATCCATGTTTTTGTCTTGGATCAGTTTGTTGAATTCTTCCACAATGTCATCCTGGCTTCCAAACCTCCTGCAAAGATCCTGAGAAAACTCTTCCCATTCTATATATAAATCCTTTCCTCGTACCAAACCTTCAAACCACACAATTGTCTTGCCTTCCAAGTAATATGAGACCATCTCTACCCACTGATGTACAGGTATCGAGTGTATCCTGAAGTATTTCTTGCATTTTTGCAGCCATCCTCGAGGATCCTCTCCTCTAAAGTTTGATAGATTCATCCTTAGTAGTGGTATATGGAACCCTGTCTTATGAAGCTCTTATCCTGTCATCTATTCACCTCGACTCTGAGTTCCAAGTCCTGGTGTTACTTTTCAATAGACGCATTCATTTTAACATTCTTGTCCATCCCTAGGGTTGCTAGGATACCTCTGGATTGGTCTCCTGCCATCTTTGTTCTTGTCGTTTGGGCAGCTATAAATTGTTGGAACTGTGAGGATAGTAGTTCCATTTATATGACCAATTGCTCAATCTTAGCTCTTTACTCTTTGTTTTCTATCATGGACTCCTGCCATTCTAGATGATAAGTCTGCAGCTGATTGTCTAACCTTTTACAATGTTCATCTACTATCTTGAATTTGTTACCATCCACCATTGTTGAATGAGGTTCGCAGCTTGTTGCAAGCTTTGATACTAATTGTTAAGCTCAGCTTAACAAGAATAAGAAAAAAAAAAGCAGAGAGAAGAATAGAGGAATGAGAAGTTTTGTTATTAATTTTTGCATGCCCTTTATGTAAACTCCACCTGCTATTTATACTATCCTCCCTATGCTTAACACATTTATTTCATGGTTAACCAACTCCTAACTGACTCTAACTGCCTCACACGAGTGCCTCACACAATCCTTTTGCAACTATAATCCAACTGTAACAATCCAACTTTAACACAACAATAACAAAAAAAAAAAGTTTGTTTCTTGATTTTATGGTTTCTAGCTAAATGAAAGGAGCTGAAATTAATTGAACGAATGGGTTGCAAATTAACAAGACTTTAGCTTTTTTGTTTAATAGAAGAGAGGTACTTTGGATGTTATTTTATAGTACAAAAAAAATAGATAATGGAGATGATGCTGATAATGATGATATATGTGCTATTTTGTTGGGGGGTCACCAACTATGGAGAGCTGCCCAGCTTTGTCTAGTTTTTTTTTTTTCTATGTATAAACTACCTACTTTAAGCAATACTTTTAGTCCTTCTAATTTAGCACAAGTTTTTCTTTGACCTCTACATCTTAGAATGTCCCAATATGGGTCTTCTTTTATTTATAAAACATTCTAAGAAATAAAGATTTTCCATTCCAAAAAAATAAAAGAATAATTAGAGAGGCTTCCATAAAGAAATATAAAAAAATGGTAGTGGTGAGATTTTGATTGAATTTCACTTTTTATTTAAATAAAATCTACTTTTTATTATAAAAAAAAATATATGACCAACACATATGATTGTGCCTTTGATTAAATTTACCAAATAATCTTTGCTAATTTTCAAAAGCTATGTATATGATAAATAAAAAATATTTTATAATTAAAAAAAATAGAAAATGGGTACTTGTTTTCTATTAGAACACTTAGGTTGAGATTGGAACAATGTAAAAAATCTAAGCCTAAAAATGAGATGTTTTCAACGGTAGAGGTGAAAGTGTAACACTTGGTAAAATTTAGATGACAAAACCTATTATACAAGGATATTTGTGGAAAAGCAACCGTGTTTGCTTCCTTGCAAGAAGGAATAGACGGGGAACGGTAATAAAAAAATACATTGGAAGGACAAAGATAGCCTCGTCTCTCTCTCTCTCTTCTTTTTTACCTTTCACAATTGGCTGGTTGTTCCTTATTCTTGGCTTCCCCTGTAATAACTGTGGATTGTTCTGCCTTGAATCTATGCCACGTGGTAGCAAACTGAATCCATTGCCTGAAATTGAATCTCTGATTTTTCTATATTTAAGAAGAGTTACCCCATGAACACGGAAGTTCCCAAAGCAACGTGAAGGAATTCTAAGGCGGGGGGGTTATTAAATTATTATGTTTTATATTGTTTTTTCTCTCAAAAATGTCGTAGACTTCTTACTTGGTGCTTCATTCCGGGTGATTTTTTTTTCAAGTAAAGAAAAACATGCAGAATTGGTAATGTTTTTTAATTTACAAGGAAAATTTTGGTTATAAACCTAAAATTTTAATGTATTTAAAATTAAAAAAATTTAAATTATCAAGAACTAGAGTTATTTTATTGAACCCAAACTTAAATTAAATAAAAATATAAACACATGAATAATTAAAATATTTATTTAATTAAAATTAAATCAATTTTAGTCGGATACTATTTATATAATAAATTCTTTAATTTTAATACAATATACTTTGGAATAAAGTATTTTGAATAAGGATGTCAATGCCACTCAAACATCAAGCTTTATATATATATATTTAGTGGCGGAGGCAGGGGCCTAGGCCCCTGCAGAAATTTTTTTTCCCAGCCCCTCCCTTGTAAATATTATAAAAATAATTAAAATTTTAACTTTACTTTCCTTAATTTTTAATTTGACTCCCCTTAGTTTTTTTTTCTTGCTCTGCCCTGTATATATTATTCTTAAGATATAAAATTTAAATATTCATATTTTATTTACCAAGTTTGGAATATTTATATAAATAAAACATGAATATTTATATAACTATATCTTATCCAACAACTATTATTTATTATTTAATTAATATATACTTGTTTGTGTGTGTTGGATTCAAAAAAAAATATAAATATTGTACATATAATACAAATAAATATATTGGGTAAAGTTTGAGTCGGGTTTCAAGTTGAGTTAGATAATATATATACCTTATTCATTATTTATCATGTAAGATAATTATTCAAAAAACTTATTCATGTTGGTATTCATTGGATTTGAATTAAATTATTATCCTTATCTAAAATTTTCTTTGCTATCCATTTTCACCTAAAAGATCCTAAAACCTTAATAAATCAATCTTTCAAATCAATAAACTTCTAAATTAGTTCAAAAAATATAAAATATAAAAAAATCTCTCTTAAGCCAATTTACTTTTGCATGTAATTATGAAGGACAAAAATCACTACCAGTATATTTATTTTGTTAAATGGAACCAGTTAATGTTAATCTTAATCGTTTTGCTTGTAATGATTGTGATAATTGGTAACTTTTTTTATTTTTTTTCTAGTGAGTTTCTTTTTTTTCTTTCTTACTCATATATTAAAAAATAAATAAAATGAGTTTTATGATGAAAATAAAAATTATCAAGAATTTAAGATTGATTGTCTTTTCTTATTTTTTTTTTGTATTTTAGTTCTTTAATTTTTAATTTAATATACCTACCACAATTCAAAACTTCATCTTGTTTAATTAGACTATTAAAAAATTAAATAAAAAGTTTGAAAAACATATCGTATTATATTTAATATATTAAGAAAGATATTGAGTTTAAATGATATTGTCTTAAAAGATAAGATCTTTATAAGTGAAAGTAAATTTACACATAATCATATAAAATATAGATAGACTCATAGATATTATTATATTATGTATAATTATAATTGTTATCTTTTAATTAATAGTTATTATTATTATTATTATATTGTAATATTGTTTAGTTAATTATCTTATTAATTGTAAAGTTGTTTTAAATATTATATATTCTTATACTTATTTTATTTTATGCATGATTTAAAATCGTTAATTAACATGTTAATGTATATTTAAAATTTTAAATCATCCATTACTAATATAAAAAATACATATAAATAAAAATAATATTTAAAAAGCACACATATTAATATAGAATTATAATTAATAAATAAAACTGATTATAAAATATCATTATTATTAGCCGTTGCTAAATAAAATTGTATTTTTCTTGTTTTCTGTATCTTAAGTTTTTTATTATTATTATTATTAAATTATGCTAGCTGATATAAGACCCGTTGCACAGTTAGATATGTCTTGTCCTCGTGGCCGAATGATTTGTCGGTTCTCCATAAATATAATAACCTCAACCTCACATGTCAAACATGTTAATAGCCTTGCACAAAAGGATAAAATATCATAGTGTGGCAGAGAAGGATCATCAAGTTATCATCAGCCAATGATCTCTGCTGTTATGAAAAGTATCCTTCATCCTATCTTCTTCCTCTCAATATATGTAAACACATGAAAGGTCTGGCAAATATAAAATAGCATGATAATAGCTTATGTATCCCTGTTATACTATTATGGAAAAGTCAAATTTTTCTAAACATAAAAAAAATTTAAATCTTGAGAGAATTTTCAGTAATGATATTAAACTTTAAAAATACAAACTATAACGACTTGATTTTTTTAAAACCAAAATCGATGAATATTTTTTTTATTCAATTCTAGATATTTGTCATTGTATTATTCTAGAGATTTATAATTGCATTCCATTTAATAACAAGATATAATCTATGTAGGATCACGTTAATTAATATTTTCATAAAAAGAATTTGTAATAAATATGCCCATAATATTATATCTCTATATTTATAGGTTTACATTACATCATATTGACATACTCATAAATTCACATTCCTGATCTAGTTTTGTTATCATCATGAGTTTATATAAAAGTGTCGAATGGTAAGATACACAATTAGTGCTTTCTTTATCCTGACCTGATGTAATTTCACAATATAACATCTTTGTAAGAAGAATACCATATATTTATATTCATACACATCATATCTACTTGTTTACACATACACATTCGTGTTTCATTTCAGTTTTTGGTTACAAGTCTTTACAAAAAAAGTCGGACGACTAATTGAGTGATTAACATGTCTGTTTATACAAAACTTATATCACTTATAACATGTGAATATATAGTTCTTTTCAAAATGTGTGAGCTGCAAAACAGATTTCCTCATACACCATGTTGGTATGATGTCCCTATTATAGCACAAGATAATTTCAAACATTATAGGCAATTTAAAAACATAATAAAGAATATTAACATTACATTTCATTCATGGACTAAAATAGCATAATTCTTTCATTTCTCCTTACTTATGTAAATACCACCCTTAATAATTTGTCAATTACCGAGACTAATTACAACACTCAAACCCGGTCAGCCATCTCAAATATCTTTAACTGAACTAATGTTCTTATCTGTTTAAAACATAACAATTATAGTTCTTTTATATATTTGGTATGTATAAAAGATAGTACCCATTAACGTATCAATTTCTTGAAACTAACTCATAACTCCCAAATTTGGGCTATCCTTTTAGGATACTATTAGCTGAAGTCAATTGTTTATTCATCTCGGTCATCCACTTAGGATGCTATTAGTTGAAGCAAAGCTAATCATTTTTTCATCTCGTCATCCACTTAGGATGTCATTAGTGGAAGTTAATCATTTCTTCATTCCGGTCATCCACTTGGGATGCCATTAGCCGAAGCTAATTATTTATCAATCTTGGTCATCTATTTAGGATGCCATTAGTCAAAGGCAATCGTTTCTCAGTCCTAGTCATTCACTTAGGATGCCATTAGCCGAAACTAATCATTTGTTCATCCTATCATCCACTTAAGATGCTATTAGTCGAAGCTAATTATTTATCAATCCTAGTCATTCACTTACGATGTTATTAGCCGAAGCTAATCATTTACCAATCCTTGTCATTCACTTAGGATGCCAATAACCAAAGCTAATCATTTATTAATCCCAGCTATCCATTTAGGATGCTATTAGCTGAAGCTAATTATTTGTTCATCCCATCATCCACTTAGGATGCTATTAGCTGAAGCTAATCATTTATCAATCCCGATCATTCACCTAGGATGCTATTCGCTGAAGCTAATTATTTGTCAATCTCAGTCATCCATTTTGAATGCAATTAGCTAGAGTTAATAATTTATTCATCCCAATTATCCATTTTGGATCTTATTAGCCGAAACTAATCATTTGTCAATATCGGTCATCCATTTAGGATGCCATTAACCGAAGCTAATCATTTGTCCTAGTCATCTATTTAGGATGTCATTAGCCAAAGTTAATCATTTGTCAATCG